GTCTTGCGATGGTTGTAAGGTGTGTGCCCAGCCTTAAAGCCCAACTGAACTTTCACTTTAAAGCAGCTAATCAGCTTCATGCATTTCAGGTGCAAAACAAAAGGTGTGCAAAGTCTTACCGTTTATTTTCTTCAGAAAGCAGCCACAGCCTGAGTAGAAAAGCCTGTCCTCTGCTAGTAGTTACAGACTGAAACCCTTCTCTCCCTGTAGAAGTTTGACATGCCCACTGCTGAGTCAGAGCACTTCAATCATCTGAGAGCAAGAGCTTTGTTGTGTGAAGAGCACTAGCTCTGATTCAGCAGGAGGCGTGTGAGACCTCTGCAAGGGAGAAAACATGTGTCCAGGAGTAACTTGTTCCCTACAAGGGACCCTGTGGGGTCTTGAAATGTTGCTTTACTTCAGCACCTGCAAAGAAAGGGGGTATACCAGTTAGGTGTGCAGTAGGGATATCCGCAAGACCTCTGCAGGGAGACCACTGCTTCCACACAGAGAGCAAAGGTCCAACTCTGCAGCATGCTAGCAAGGGACAGGCTTTTCTACTGAATAAATGCACCTGGATTGTTTTTAGCTGAGTTAAATGGAAAGTTTAACTGGGCTATAAACAAAACCTATCAGAATAAAAATAAAAAAACCAAAACCCACCTTATGCTAGGCACCCACTGGAACTGCATTTTCACAGCTCTTACTGTAAAGAATCCTTTCTGCAAGAGGAGATTAAACACCTTCACTTTAAAAACCAAGGGGTGACCTAGTGTCTTTTGACCATGTTCTTAAACTAAACAGCTTTGCTCTAGTTTGTCTATATGGGTTATCTACACATTCATCCAAGCGGTCATAAACTGCCCTCACCCCCCAAAAAAACCCTTTCTATTTGTCAGACTTTTTCCCTTTAATTTCATCTGTTGATCCCAGAAGCTTCCTGTCCCCGAATGGCTACTCTCACTCACTCACTCCCCTGTATCTATGGAGGGAGCCTTGATTGTCACACTAGGCTGCTCTCTTGATTTGGACTACAAACCCTTCTTCTCTTCATCTCGAAGAGAAGAAGGGGGGAATTGCATGGAAGGTGAGATGACACTGTTTGTTATTTCAGTCCAGTTTAGGAGTCTGAGATGTGATCCAGGTGTGTGTCAGGGCCAACTGATCAGAAGCCGATTAATCGATTTATTGAAAAAGTTGACAACTTTTTCAATAATCGATTATAATCGATTATGTCGATTAGTTGTTGCAGCCCTAGTGAAGGTTCACAGACAAATGTTGTGTTATGCCATAACAAACGTTCATATGCATCTGTGCAGCATGTGTTCCACATAATCAAGACAATGGAACTGACAGATCTGTGTATAGTTGGTTTAGATTTGAAAAGGACATTGTAAAATGTACAGCTCAAGGGATGACCAACATATAAATGAATAAAAGGGTCATTCACAAAGCTGCTGAAGGATCCAGCCGTAGTTTCAGCTCGCTTCGTTTGCGGGAGCCCTTCGGTTCAGTCGAACCGAAGAGCTGCTGTACGGGCTATTCACTATAGCCTGTAGAGCAACCGAGGGTGGCCGAGCCGAAGGCATATGCATCGGCTCGACCGAGCCGTAGTGACAGCCGAAGCGGTGCAAACGGCTTGCTGAAGGCCGTCCTTTTGCCCCACAAATTACATCTGGGCGTAGACAGCTGTGATCTCACGGCCGGCTCCGCCCAGGTGTAATGACAGATCAGCGTCCCCCAAGTGACCTGGAGATGTTGAACTGGGCAGAGCCGGCCATGACATCACATCACGTGTTTTTGGTGCAGAGTTAGAACCCCTGTAAGGTTTTTTTTGCTGTCAGTGTTCCCATTAGGGAGATTCTTTCTCTTTCTCTTGTTCTGATCAACATTATCAATGGGAATGAAAGTGAGGGTAAAGCCAAAAAGTTGAGCTGTCACTTGCACAGGAATAGAGGGAAAATCTTCCAGTGGGGAGACTTATTACAGTCTAAGAGCGGATTTCCCTAACATTGGAAAGATATCCTCTCACTTCCTGTTGAGTCTACAGTCTATCCGGCTATAATATACTGTATATTGCAATAGTGCCAACATGAGAAGGCCTTGGAGGACAATGCCTCCACAGATGATCTACTGCATCCCCCCACCCCCTTCCAACTCAGAAGCCAGGGTTGGACTATTTCCCAAAGGACTCAGATCTCAGAATCTGCAGTATCGTATTAAGTGTCGTGGCTCTTCCTTCAAGGTTCAGGTGTCGTGGGTAGCATATATATATATATATAAGACCTAGCATACTATATCACCATGATGATATTGAATGCATATGTTTTCAAGTCGTATATTATTCAGTGAGTTTTTTAATTGCTACTAATGTTTCACATTCAATTTTTGGAATGAGGAAATTAAGTAAGGTAATGACTCGAGCAAATTAGTGTGGCTTGGACTGTCTGCCGAACAACTTCTATGTCAATGAGACATCAGTGATGGTATTGGAAATCTATTGTTACATGTGAGTGGTCTGTGGCAGTCTATTGCTTCATGCGAATAGTGATTGAGCAATCTGCAGTAAAGAAAAGTAAGGACAAGGACCTGGCTATGATGTCTGGCAGAGGTAAGTGAATATCAAGGACAGAATTGCAGTTCTATTGGCAGAGCAGCTGGTCCCATATATGTATTTTAATGGCTTTTTAAGCTGCATTCTTAGAGTTCTACTTTAAACCATTTTTTTTAACCCATGCAGTGGGGCTACCCCCGCACTGCAAGGTTTAACTGCTCATTCTTGCCAAGGGTCAAAAAAAAAATTATACTCATTATACACTGTTTATTGGACATGAGGATGCAAAGGGACATACCTTCCCTGCCATGGAGGAGGAGACAGGCTGGAGGAAATGCTGCCAGCTCCGAGGATTGGGTGAGTATACCTTTTTCTTAACTCTAAAAATGAGCAGTTAACCGTTGCAGTGCAGGGGTAGCCCCAGTGCAAGTTTTAATAACATTTGTGCATGGAGTTCTTCTTTAAACAACCATTTAACATCTCATATGAAGGTTGTTATCATCATATACAGCATGTTGACCATAAGGAAAACATTAAGTTTTATTCTGCAGAGTAATTTCTTCTGCTAATTCAAAGTGACACATAAAGAAAAAAAAAGAAGAAGAAATAGGCTATCCTCGGGATCCAACATTAAAAATCAAACATACAACATCTTCACTCAAACTCTTTATTTTATCAGTAAGCAAAAAGCTGAATTTTCTCGACTGTCAGTATTAGCAAACACTTGTGTTCCTGCCAAAAATAATACAGTTTTATACATTTTCCTGAGGAGAACAAATATAAAATAAAAATGTTGTTATGTTGACTTCTGAACCTTTTGCATGCATAACCTCTTGGATGCACTTTTAGAAAACATTCCCCTCTTATAATTATACATCTATATAATGCAGACAGTGACCTGAAATAACTTGGTAGGATAATCTGCAAAATGAGTAGAAAATCCAATAAGAGCGACACGGTTACTTCTCATATAATGTTGATGTGTGTCTATACTACACGATTCAATATGCCTATTTCTTGTCTCTAGATTACCTATTCTGTACACAGGGCCGGATTTCCCCCAAGGCCACCAAGGCCCAGCCTCGGGGCAGCAGGGAGTAGAGGGGCAGAAGGGGTGTGGATATCCTATCACCCGACACCCAGGTGGGTAGTTTTCCTGACCTTGGGGCAGCAGAGACTGTCCCTGACCTTAGGGCAGTAAATCCGGCCCTGTCTGTACATCATTGATGAGCATATTGCAGCATTGTATAATATCTGTATCTTTCTCATTCATTCCTTTTTTTCCTTTAAATTTTGCACAGAACTGAATCATAATAGCATATGGCCAGTTTTAGATTAGGTGTTTATAATGACATTTCTCCCACCAACGAGCCCCACACCAGAACACTTTTGTGTCTTGGTCTAGTGTTAAAATCAAGGGCTCATCAGTCCACATGATTAAGCATTGGCATCAGTTCCTAATGCTACCTCCAATAGCCTATTTCACTCTGATAATCATATGAGACAAGAGGCAGTACAAAATCATCACTCAGGTGTTCCCAGGACAGCATGATGTCTATATACAGCCGCACTTGAATATACTTCGTATAGATTCCCTACGATGCTTGGAACTCTGTCCCCACGCTACAAAATGTTATTGCTTCTGACTATGCTTTTGCTTTTTCATTAATACATTACACTACATGAATCTGTTGAGTCTCTTTTGAAATGTCTGAAGCTTATGCACATAAATTAATTTAGTGGGCTAGTATTGATCTTATAGAAGCAATTAACGAAGACCAATGGCTTGTAAAGCAGTAACGGTGTGCCGAATGCATTTAGCAGTAGTCAGACATAATCTGTGATGCAGTAAACTGAATTTGGGTTGGTTTGTATGGAGTACTGAAGTTTACACACCTATAACTGCTCTTTGCACTGCATTGCAAATCCTACAGGAATTTCTCATATATACACTAATCAAAGAACAGATAATTATGTGCTTGTTATGTTAATGCTCTGGTAAGTAATGGAAATCGGGCTATTGGGTCATCTATGAGTGTATAAAACTCACTTACTTGTGACTTTCCTTGGTGCACTGATAGACTCATTTCTTACATCCTGTGTGGTGGTCATTGTGCTCTTTGCTTATATTTTTTCTTTATTTTTTTTTTAATCAGGGTTAAGTGGCCACAGATCATTTATCACAATGTAGACGATCCAAGTGCCAGCTGGAAAACACTGTCTTCTCTTTTCACATTGGAGTGGTGAACCCAATGAGTCCTCCCCCCTCTGCCACTGCCCATGCTGGGCTCCAGAGAATGGGGAGCAGTAGCTCCACTTTTACCACAACCAACTCCCTGATTAAAGTCTGCAGAGATCACAAGGGAGGAATCAACTGGATGAGCCTGAGCCCTGATGGGTGTAACCTGCTGACTGCCAGTGAGGACTGCACCGCCCGTTTATGGAGAACATCTGACAATCAATGCTGCAGGTTGCTGCAAGGTGAGTGGGTACCCCTACCTCCATAGGCATGATTACTCATTGTAGCAGATTGCATAGTCTCTATTCAATCCAAACTATTTTATTAGTTTTTTGTACACATATACATGCAAACTCATAGCCTGTGAATGCATGTGGACATAAAACTATGGTATCATACCAGTGAAGTAGTGGTCAATAACTATAAAATGCACTCTAATGCTCATGATTACTGCCAGGAGCAAATGTGAAAATATATGAAAGGTGTCCAACTTACCCTTTTGGAATAGACTGGGATGAATGAAAGTAGCAGCATCAGTAAAGGGTGTATAAATTTAGAGGAAACTATGCATCTACAATACATTAATACACAGTCAAAAAATAGGCTTTTGTCTCCCCCCCCCTTCCAAGCACCCTGTCCACATGTTGAGGGGACAAGGGCCACATCCTGGCCCCAAAAGGGAATAAGGTGTTTGCAAGTGGGGAAGTTATCGGAATCTGTAAGCTCCCTTTATACAAAAGGGGCCCTCAGATATCCGCTTCCACCCCCCTTGAGGAATGTGTATGGAGTACAGGTAAACAACCAGATGCCGACCATGCTGTCCTGTGGCTACTCCTGTCACAAATGATAGATTCCCAGCCGGCTGCTGTATGTGAACAAACCATCCAGGGATCTTGGGTGATGACATTGACCAAATATGGTCATGACCTTATTTGGCCAATGACATCACCTAGGATCCCCTGTTTGTGAAGAAAACATGTTACTTTTAAAGGACTACATTGAATTGCTCCCTCACTTTACGTGCAGCTTTAAGACATCCCCCTAGCATGGCTTTTGAGGGATTTATGTATTTTCCTGTTGCCCTTTCAGCCCTCTCCTCGTTGAACCATTTTATGTGATAATAGTCTGTAAATTTACCTTGAAAAGGGCCAGGAAAAAATGGCAAAGTTCAGGTTCCCTAGACCTCAGTAGGGTTTGGCAACTGGGGGGGCGTTATGAAATCACAGACATCCTGCTGGGTTTACTGAACCTTCTATGAACCTAACTTTAATTGTCTTGCTCGATCCACTCCTACTGCTAACCTTCTAGACTCACAGTGACTTTGGCTACCCAATTGGGAATAGAGTCACATTGATGTATGCCCAAAAAGCTGCTGAGTAGCACTTTTGATGCTCTTCCATACTGATTATTATTACTTTGCTTTTACATTTTTCAGACTATTAGGGATGCTTGAACTAGTTGCATCTCTTACAGATACATTGTTCAACTCATCTACAGGATTTGCGCTGATAATTGTAGAGCTCATTGATGAAGAGTAGAGATAAAACATTACCACAGTAAAATTTAATAAATGCAATATGCCATCAACTAGACTTGTGGCCCATGAACACGTTGGTGGTCTAATCCCATTTTGCAGATATGATCACGCAGAGTGTTATAAAAGGACGCCACCATTTTCTCATAAACCTGCACTGTATATTAAACCTGGCTGAGAGAGAGGCAAACTTGTCTCCAGAGATTAATTCCCCACGTTTTTTCCTATTGACAATTCCAGAAGCCGAATGTTACTTTAATCAAGTTTCATTTGATAATTAAAAGCTTGTTCTGCTATTGCGCCAGAACACTCTCTTGGCAAGAGTTTCTCACTGTCGGCTGACACCAGGCCTGGGTTTTATATACAAGTTTGTACTGCATAGTAATTGAATTGACATATGAATTGTATGAGGACCTTGAAGGACCAGGAACTCAAAACTACGTGGCAAGGGTTGGCAAATACCAAGCTGTCATTTGGCAGCATGGTCAGGGGAACAGTTTTTAATAAATCTGCAAGTTAAAAGATCTGCCGTGTTATAGAATAGGCACAGCATCTGATGCAGTAATTGCTACAAAACGAGCAAAACACATATTTTAGGATAAATCCATTTTCAGCATCCAGCCCGAAGCACAATTCTGGCAGAACAAGAATTCTCTAGTAAAGAGGGAAACTGATGTGAGTGTTGAGTGAATGTGATTTCTAGTCGGTTAAGACATTAATGGGTTTGTAAGTAGGTTTGAGGTGATGCGTTTGTTTATCTGCCACTCTCTTTCCCACAGCTTGATACCAATGGGTTAAAAAAAGCAATGAATATGACTCGCCAAACATTATCTGTTGGAGAATCACTGTTATTCACCTGCTGAGAATGTTTGCTGAATTCACAGCTTTATAAATATGCCCCAAAAGTGGCAACAGACAGTTGTACACTGATTAGCAATAACATAATGACCACCCACCTAATATTCAGTAGGTCTCGCTACTCTAACGGTTTGGTTTGCTCCATTTTATTTATTTTTGTACATTTCAGGTTTTAAAACTAATATTTTGTATTATTTATATTCTTTTTTTTGGTGCTATTTATGTAAAATATATTTGTTTTACAAATATACATTTAATAAAGGGTTCTCCCATGATATGAGATTCACAGAGCACTATGTATTTTAAACCTGGGATGGAGCCACATGGAGGGAGGGTGGAAAAGGGGAAGAAGTCGTGGTCCTGTGTGTGTAAATGTTACCTTGAACTACTGAGCTCTTTTTCATAGAAGATAAGGTTACTCAGGAGACTATAGCTTTAAACCAGCAGGCTGGCAACAGTAATACAAAATGTAAATATGCAATATTTTATATTTGCCTAAATAAAAAAAAATATATATTTTACATTTGTATTAGTCCTTACCATAATAAAGAAAATATAAAAACCACTAGACATTGCCTTTAAATATTACTGTAGATAATACTGTAGGGCACTACACTGATGGGAGGGGAAGGATCTTCCAATCCTCAAATGAATTGCCTGGACACTGGGACTCGGCAGTGACTGTATGTATTTTTGCTGATCCTTTCCGAAGCTCCATAGTAGATAGGCTGAAAGATCTTCCTGTAGACTTATGAGCATCTCAGCCACCTAAGTACTGAAATACTTCTCAATAATCACAATCAATGCTCAACAAAGGAGAACTACTTTAAACTATCGCCTATTTTCTGGTAATTCTTATTCAGTAAAGATTAAGATTTTTGAGAAATCTCTTGATTCCCCCATCCACACTAAAGACCACGGATGGAGGACTCTCCTCTGCTGGCTATTGTATTCAAACATTCAAAGTGGATTGATTTTCAGCTGATTAAGCAGGAAAAGGCCTAAATTCAATCCGTGTATAGCCATCCTAATGCAGCGTGAAGATAATGTCCACTATGCGAATATTACACATGTCCACATGTCTACAATCTCCCTACATTAAACTGAAATCTGATAACATAATCAAATTATAAAATGTTATCATGTTTATTACTAGCATTCACAGCCTAAAACTTGGGATGTGACAGATTTGTGCAAACTCTGTGATGGGTTGGCCATGCATGGGTTAAAGTGTATTGGTTGACAAAGTCTTTTTTGTTGTGGATAGAGAGGAACGTTTATTACCTTTGTCAGGTTTTAATTGGTGTCTGTTATCTTTTAGGGCCTAGTGATGCCCCTGTTACAAAGTGACCACCCTGCAAGACTGCAGAGTGCACTTACCCTCTGCTGAGTATATGAGAATTTTACATCATAAAATGAACCACTAAACCACACATAATGGGAATTGCTTAGCAATATCTATATTTATAACGTGTAGGTTTCCATTGGCAATGTTGTAATTCCTCGGTGTTTAGAAAATCACAGGCCGCAGGACTCTCGCAGCCCTAATATGCTAAGAGCCAGTGGTGGTAGAGACTCGGGGTGTGCCAGCGGTAAAGTGAACACTGCAAATTCATTAGTTACCTGACATATGATGGCTCAGCGTGCACAATAGTATATTCTACATACTACATATGACCCAAAAATAATCAACAAAACACGTGAGCCAATCTCTCAGTCTTTCTAATTCTCAGTCTCTACTCACCAAAAATACAAACTCAATCCTAATTGATGAGAAGCGTCAGCATTAAGAACCTACTATTTATACAAAGTCATAAGCAGTTTAAAGTAAACATGTCATAGGAGATATATGGGGGCTGCCATTCCTAATCTCCTTCTAAAAATGCCAGTTGGCTTTTATCTTGACCACTGGTTTCACATTTTTCAGAGAGACTGACCCAGCAACAAATATAATGATCAGGAAAGGCAAAAAATAGTTTCAGGTGACCACGCTGACCAATGAGAAGCACTTCTTAGCATGGGTAAATACGTTTTTGGTTAAAATGCTTGTACACGCGACTAAACCGAGCAACAACTAAACACAGGAAAAAGTGATCTGGGAAGCAGGAAGTTGTTTATTCCCACCAGATAACTTCTCAGTTGTTCATTTATAAAGGTTGCGGCACTGGCGCCCCTAGATGGCGCTGAGTACATGAACTAATACTAAGCTGGTCACACATTGAAGGTGGTTTTTTCCTCAAAGTGGAAACAAGAATTTGTATTTTTTATACCTTCATTCACATGGAAGGGGCTCTGTAATAAACACTGTATGGAGGTCAGGGAATGTATCAAGCTGTTCTGACACCTTTCTTTGTTTTGTTTGCATGGAATTGGCCATAGGCCACAGCAGCTACATCACCTTTTGTCATCTGGAGAACGAGGTGGCGTTCACATGCAGTGCAGACCACTCGGCCAGAAAGTGGGAGGTAGCAACAGGACAGTGCCTGACCGTGTACACAGGACACACGTCCATTGTTAATAGGTGGGTAAGCCGTCTCCTGGACCAGCTGTCATAATGTCTTCCAGCTGTGATTTGCATGGGAAGTCTTCTATGTTGTGTAATTAACCAGAAACAGCAGTAGCCCCCACTGGTATTTTGAGTCATCCATCAGCAAAACATATAAGGGGGATATGCTGAGATGTAAATTTAGGGTTAGGTCATTTTCTAACTGGTCTATACGTATATATATATATATATATATAGTTTTATTGCCCTTTATTGACAACATTTTAACCAAGCTCAGTCCATCTTTATGTTGATGAAGATGGACTGAGCTCAGTAATTCAAGGAGTCAGCCCATCCAAAAGAGATATGTCAGTTTTTTAATAATATGATGGAGAATTAAAGTCAAAGAAATAACTATACAGCTGAAGACATTGTATAAGACACTTTATTTTCATCGTCGTTAAGCTAACCATACACGCTTAACTTTCAAACTGCGGGCTGAACAATAGAAATCTAATAGATTCCCCCCATCCGCGCTAAACAGCATGGATGGAGGAATCTTTCCTCCTTATTGTTATTGTCTGAATACCCAAACAGTGACTGTATCTGATTGGATGCAGTAATTGTTCATTGCACAGGGCCACTCATGGCTACCCTGCTGAATCGGCCATGATTTGAACCCTGTATGGCCACCATTACCTTCCTTTCCTGTTACAGTAGTTGCACAGTGTGTCGAAATATAGCTGCACAGTCCAATAGGCACCAGAGTTTGAACACACTACCCCATGTACCCTGTAATCTAGCAGACTTGGTCAGACCCACCACTCTTCCTGGGCACCTTGTAACAGGAGTCAGGAATTATAGCACAGAGATTTTCCTTTTGGATTTCCAAGAATTTTAAGAACCCAGAGAGTGCCTTGAGCTCTTCAGGCTCTACCAATAATACCAAATATCACTTTTTGGTGACTGATACTTTCATTACAATTCTGCATCTACTTTATCAAATGTAACATGGATGAAAAGAGTACGATTATATATTGTGTTATTTTTCTCCAACTATATCCCGTATGAATTGTTCTTTAAAGTAGAATTATGCTCTCACATGTAGGCCCTGTTTTCTTAGGTTCCTACAAAAAGGAAACTTTTTGTAGGAACTTCCTGTGGATGTGTGTACATTTTTACTGTGGTATATAGAGCAGAATGTGCCAACTCACTGTTCACTGGTATGGTTATTTATAGCCGAACTTTGGAGGGTGCTGACCATACAGTGCTTGAATTATGACAGATTCTGGCTGAACTGGCTGAAATTAAAGCTCAGGGCGGCCCTGTTGGCACTACTATTCGACTGACAAATTTCCACCCGCCTCCTTGAACAAAATCAAAAATAGCCTTTGTTGAATAGTGACTGCATCCAGTCATATTTTTGGGTATTCAGCAGTTGCAATTCCCATCGGCTGTGAATACAAAAGCCAGCAGGGGCTTTAGAGATGTATAGCCAGCTTAAAAGAGAACTATGGGGTAAGTGTTTTTCCCCATAGTTCTCTTAAGGGTCACGGGAGGACATAAACTAGCGTCCTCCCGTAGCCCAAAGCTCACTATATCTCGAGCTACAGCTCGCGGTATACTGAGACCGCCGCAGCTGGGACGGATCCCGACATTACTGTCGAGATCCACCCAGCTGCGTGAGTGACAGCTGGCTCTGCCTATCTAGACGCAGAGCCAGCTGTACCCACACCCTCCCCGTCCGATCCTTCAGTCAGTGCTGGAGGATTGGAGTGGGGAGGGGGGAATCCTTGCGGGGAGCCATGACTGACAGTCACCGCTCTCTGCAGGGACATGATCGAGAAGTGAGCAAGCGACGTTGTGTTCGCTCACTTCCCAATCTATTGAGCCGATGTGTGACAGTTTTATTGTCACACTTCGGCTCCAGCTATGAGGATGAGTGGAAATCACTCACCTCATAGTTCTCCTTTAAGGGTAAGAACGATTCAGCTAAACAGGAGTAAACATTATCACCCTAGGGAAAGAAGAGTCTGAACATGGTATCAGTTAAAGTAGAACATATTAAAATACAAAGATTTCTTTCTTTATTTAAAGTTTTTACATAGTATAAATCAACATCTACAATTAACAAAAAAATCTTCCATTTGGACAGCTTATCCAACATAGACATTTCATCTTAATATATGCATTTACATAAATAGTTATAATTAAAAAATATTGCATAGCATATCTTCTTCTACCATTTTAAATTTCATATTTCACATTCTAGTTCTTCCTTTTAATAATGATGGACTTTTCTAATGCTTCTTTAATGACCATTTCTTATAGGAACATGAGCAACAATATATTTGGTGTAAGTGTTTGGGTTAAGATACACTTTAACTAAGAAAATAGACGACTGTTTATTAATCTACCACAGGATTCTGGTCAGCAGGAATTTGCTCTTCAGTGGATCTTATGACCGGACAGCTCGTCTCTGGGATGTAGACTCTGGCAGATCTCTTCAGGAGTTTCAGGGTCATAGAAACTGTGTGTTGGCCTTAGCGCATTTTTCATCCAGTGATATTCTGGAAGCATCAGACTTGGAAGGAAAGGAAGTGAAGGAATTTCTGGTGACAGGAAGCACGGACTGCACAGTGAAAATCTGGGAAGCCTTCAGTGGTTGCTGCTTCCAGACTTTACGGGGGCACGTGGGGGCCATATTGTGTATTGTGCTGGACGTCCCCAACAAGGAACTGTTTTCAGGAAGCACAGACTACACCATCCGGAGGTGGAACATTGTCACAGGAGACCAGCTGAAAGTGTTCAGAGATCACCAGGGATCTGTTATCTGTCTGGAGGTAAGAAAAAAATTAATCATTTATTGGGTTTATTAGTATTTTTCATTGCTTATAGTATCACCACTTGTCCCCCTCCCTCCACCACATCACTTAAGCTGGCCATACACTAATAGATTTTTTTAGTTCAGCCTGCAGATGGAGGAATCTTGCCTGAGACTTATTTTCTGACAGTCAGCGCCCGCCGCAGTCAGAATACATTTCGAATTTCTACATTTAGCATTCTCTATGTTGTAATTAAGGTTCTCATACACTTAATCTATTTGATGTAGTCTGACCTATGATCCTATGTCAGCAGGGCCAAGCAGGTAATCAGGAAACTCTGGCATTTGCCAGAAGTACTGTCTTACTCTTTATACTTCTATGGCAATTGGTTTAAAATATAACTACAGGTGAAACTCGAATAATTAGAATATCGTGCAAAGTTCATTTATTTCACTAATGCAACTTAAAAGGTGAAACTAATATATGAGATAGACTCATTACATGCAAAGCAAGATAGTTCAAGCTGTGATTTGTCATAATTGTGATGATTATGGCTTAAAGCTCATGAAAACCTCAAGAACCCCAAATCCACAATCTCAAAAAAGTAGATTATTACATGCAATCAATAAAACAAGGATTGTACATAGAACAATATCGGACCTCTGAAAAGTATAAGCATGCATATGTACTCAGTACTTGGTTTGGGCCCCTTTTGCTGCAATTACTTTTGCACGATATTCTAATTATTCGAGTTTCACCTGTATTTATTTAAAGTGTATGTGAAGCCAAATAGTTTCTATTTTAGTTGTGGACAGAGTTGGTAAGGGTTGGAACTCTTGTGTGGCTTTTCCTGCTTTCGAGAGCTCTGTTGGAGTGATTTACCATCACTTCCTGTCCTGCTGACAACAATTTCACCAGACAGGAAGTGAGGGAAAATCTGCATCAGGAACACAGACAGAAATACAAATCTGACAGGGATTCTAACTTTCATCTATTCTACCAAAAAACATAAAACATGTATTTCTGTCTGTGTTCTTGGAGAATTTCTCTCAATTCCTGCCTGGTAAACATTCTCAGCATGACAAAAACATTTCCATTACTATCTTTCAGGAGGGCATGCTCTGAAAGTATTATGATAATTGCATTAACATGAGAATAAAAGAATCATTTTCACATTGACTGGATAGATTTTCCTTTTGGATTTCCAAGAATTTTAAGAACCCAGAGAGTGCCTTGAGCTCTTCAGGCTCAACCAATAATACCAAATATCACTTTTTGGTGACTGATACTTTGATTACAATTCTGCATCTACTTTATCAAATGTAACATGGATGCAAAGAGAGACAGAAAGTGAGGGGGAAATCTCTCTAAAAGACCCCAGGATAGCAGTAATAATCTGTCAGGGGTTTCTAACCCGTCTCCACCCTATCCCCAAAAAAATGTTTTGGCTTGATATGCACTTTAGCATATCATTTTGATGGACCTATCTTCTCTGATCATTAAAATCTAACCAGAATTCCTGTAAACATTTCCATGACTATCTTTCAGGAGGGCATGCTCTGAATGTATTATGATAATTGCATTAACATGAGAATGAAAGAATCATTTTCACATTGACTGGATAGGGATCCTGTAGAAAAAAAAAAAGTTTGAAATGAGACTTTCTTATATGTTGAAGGTCAGGCAGAGTATTTGGAATTGCTCAGTGTACATTGACCTTCTCCTCTTGTATCTTGCGGGGCCAGTGCTCTCAAGAAGATGCTATTTTTAATCCCATGCAGTTTAAAAGGGAATCATTTTTTCTTTGTGCTGATGTGTGAATTGGTAAACTTGGGTCAGCTTTATTTTAGTTGTTGTTAGTAAGTTTATAAACTGTTGTTATTGTTTTCTGTTTTAATCAATATACATTTACAGTTTTTGTTTTACAAATACATATATAATGCATGACAGAGGATTCAGAGATCAGCAAAGAGACAACAAAGCACTGCAGCTTGCTTTGAGGCTCCCTTTGTCTGACTGAAACCTCCTACAACTGAATAGGGATGAGATGACCCATGTAAAGTTCTGTAAACTTTGTGTATAGAAGCATCAGCTGTGTACAGCATTATCCACGCTGTATACAAATAGGTGTATGTGGGTAATACATCTAATGATAGTATTCAGATATATAATTTGTTTTTCTAAAAATAGCAAATACCTGAATTAGACTATATTTATCACGATTGCACTTGTGGGCCATTAGCAAGAGCTGCAGAATCGGGGGGGGGGGAGACAAGAAGACACATTTCAATAATTATATTCTTATTATGTCCCTTTCCTGTGCCCACCTCTGGACAGTTCTGGCTAATTTTAATAGGAGAAATGTAGAGGGAAGATGGTGCAGGGATCTTGAGAATAGTCACAAGACTCACTATATCTCAGGGAACTTGAATCTCTCCTTTCTCCTTAGTCTGCTCTTTTAAAGAGTACTTGTGCTTATATAGCAGACTTCATAATGCATCCAATAGCACATACTAGCGTTAGTTTTTACTAAAATAATCATGAAGTCTAAGGGCTCATTCATACAGCCGCAGAAGGCTTAATACCATCAAGCAGGGGCGTATTTCCTTGCCCGGCAGTCACAGGTGTTCACTTACAACCAGCAGCCTGTACAGGCTGACAGGCACCATGCCTGTATGCAAGTTCGAGTGGTTGCATGCATACATGGACAGATGAACAGCACTGGACCCAAACTGTTTGCATCCAAGGCTACTGATACTTTAGGCATGTAACCGCTTGGACTTGCATACAGCCATGGCGTCTGCCAGCCTGTCATCAATTTGCCCCTTCTTGATGGCGTATAAGCTGTGACTTAAACAAAGATGAACGTCTTTATCTGTAGAAATCAGTTACATTTCAGCTCTTGTTATCTTTGTCCTTCACTTAGGCCTGCAGTGGGAACTGTGTATTTTATAATCGATATAATGTTGTATGCAGAAACTGTTGCTATATATCTCTATTTGATTTATTTGTACTGCGCTCTTCTCTAAGGAATCTATGAGCAGCAGGCCACACGTAAGGCACGTACAAATCCACAACATGTTACAACTTGCATTGAAGGCATTGCCTTTTGCCAGGTTACAGGAGCGGAAAACAAGGCTCCGGATGTTTGTGCCAGTGGGCTTCCCTGCTGAGAAAACAATTCAACACTTTGCTTTTATATTTAAAGGCCAAGTTCACCCACATACAGTATATATACACTGTGTATGTGTGTGTGTGTGTGTATATATATATATATA